GCACCCGGCAATACATAAGTGTGTTTTGGATTGCAGTTTGGGTGGATGAGAGGAATGCTGTGGACATAATTTACTTGGACTTCAGTAAGGCATTTGATAAAGTACATCACAACCTACTACTTGACAAGATAGAAAAATGTGGGGTAGACAGCATCACCACCAGATGGATCCGTAGCTGGCTGACCGGCCGTACTCAGCGAGTGGTCCTCAATGGAACTGCATCTACATGAAGTGTGTAGTGGGGTGCCCCAAGGCTCTGTTCTGGGCCCAATGCTCTTCAACATCTTCATCAATGATTTGGACGAGGGGATAGATGGGGAACTCATCAAATTTGCAGACGACACCAAGCTGGCAGGAATAGCCAACGCTCCAGAAGACAGGCTTAAGATACAGAAGGATCTGGACAGACTTGAACACTGAGCACTATCTAACAAAATGAAATCCAATGGTGAAAAAAGCAAGGTTCTACATTTAGGCAAGAAAAACCAAATGCACAAGTACAGCATAGGTGGCACCTTGCTCAATAGTAGTAACTGTGAGAGGGACCTCGGAGTCCTAGTGGACAATCATCTAAATAGGAGCCAGCAGTGTGCTGCAGCTGCCAAAAAGGCCAACACTGTGCTAGGCTGCATTAACAGAGGGATAGAATCAAGATCATGTGAAGTGTTAATACCACTTTACAATGCCTTGGTAAGGCCACACTTGGAATACTGCATCCAGTTTTGGTCACCAAGATGTAAAAAAGATGTTGAGACTTTAGAAAGAGTACAGAGAAGACCAACAAAGATGATTAGGGGACTGGAGGCTAAAGCATATAAGGAACAGTTGCTGGAATTGGGTATGTCTAGTTTAATGAAGAGAAGGACGAGGGGGGACATGATAGCAGTGTTCCAATATCTCAGGGGTTGCCATAAAGAAGAGGGAGTCAAGCTATTTTCCAAAGCGCCTGGAGGCAGGACAAGAAGCAACGGGTGGAAACTAATCAAGGAGAAAAGCAATCTAGAACTAAGGAGAAACTTCCTGACAGTGAGAACCATTAACCAGTGGAACCATTAACCAGTGGAGCATTCACCTCCAGAAGCGGTGAATGCTCCAACACTGGAAGTTTTTAAGAAGAGACTGGACAGCCATTTGTCCGAAATGGTATAGGTTTCCTGCCTGAGCAGGGGGTTGGACTAGATGACCTTCAAGATCCCTTCCAACTTTACTATTATTATTATTATTATTATTATTATTATTATTATTATTATTATTATTATTATTATTATTATTATTATTATTATTATTATTATTATTATTATTATTATTATTATTATTATTATTATTATTATTACTCAGTCTCTAAAAGATTCGCCACCAGTGGCCTATACGATACTGGACCAGGCTGGACTATCTGACCATCTACTTCCCATCTGCCCATACAGTAAGATCTGACAGGGTTAGTATGCTTAAGGTTCCTTCATTTAGGCAATGTTGAACTGGTGAGACCAAGAAAATATGTCTCCTTTGTTGCTGCTCCCATTCTTTAGAAAAGCTTCCTCTCCGAGATTTGGTTGACTCTTACTCTGCCTGCCTTTCAAAAAGCATTAAAGACCCGTTTTTTTAATTCAAGCATCAGATGGGAGAAATAAGACACATTGGATGAGGATTCCCCCCACCCAGCATTTGTTTTTATATGTAGTTGTTTTAGACTATACATTTATGCTTTACTATGTGCTTTTTAAATTATTGCTACTTATTTTGATCTATACTGTCCTGTCATATTTGAATATAGCAGCAATATAAATTAATCAAATAAACAACTGCACCTTGCCTAGGAAAATATTATATATTTCCCTTTCTTTTTTTCAGTGCTGGTACCTCATGGTCTCCTAAGAATTAAATTTCCAACCTACAATTTGCTGACTACAATATAATTCAGACTTTATCTCTTTAGAAATGCACATGTAAAAAGTGTATTGTATTAATAAATAAATTCTGGTGATCATAATTCATTCACTAATGATAGTTATTGTGTCTCGAAGGCCCCAACAGACCAATAAAAAACAGTAGAGTATTTTAAAGGTAATTTGTTCCTAGAGTGATTCCTTTCTTTTGTCCTTGTCACTGATAATCTTTAATGTCATTTTGTGGTTGGATTATTGAACACACTCTGCATGTTCTACTATAGAAGAGGATTCAGAAGCTACAGTTGGTGCAGAGTACAGGGGCACCGTCAGCTTTTGGGGCCCATGTGACACCACTGTTTCAAGAGCTGCACTGGCTACTGCCAATTCAAGGTGTTGATTATTACCTTTAAAGCCCTTCCTAGCATTGCTCCAGGTTACTTGAGGAATCACCCTCCCATGCTGGCAGAGGAGGCATGCAGAAGGGAATTCCGGTTGGCGGGGTCCAGGAAAAGAGCCATTGCTCCTGCCCTTTAGAAAATATTGCCCCAGGGTGAGATCGGTTCCCACTCTCCTAATCTTCCGCAAGAGCTTGAAGACCTACTTCTTCCAGATGGCCTGGGGTCCTGGAAGAACATCATGATGGAAGTGGTTGATAGATTAATAACAGATCACCCCTTTCTCCCATTCAGCTTATTCCCCCCCATCGTTTAGCTTTATTTATAGCTGATAATTTGTATTTTTATAATGTTTATTCTTATTGTACACATAGTATTGCATTGTTTTATTATTTTTTAACATTGTAAGCCATCCGTTGTGGTTGAGATGAATGGCAAATCAATTCAATCAATCAATCAGGCACTACCACCAATTGGAAATCTCTAATGCAAAGTTTTTCTAACAGAAACATACAATTTGACCAAAGTACCTAAACATTTGCATATTAAGCTAAATAATTTAATAGCTAGGATTTCCACTCACCTGAGTATTTGGATAAATATGTAGCCATTTTACTATACATGAATGATGTGTAGGCAACCTACTGCACTATATACTGAAAGAGTACTAAAGGCCATTATTGTGCAGAGTGCTTCATCAAAAATGCAGACACATTCAGAAAAAAAAATCTTGGTTTTGTGAAATATATGTATATTCCATGATATTACGTCAAAGTTATTATAATGAATACAATCAAATATACTCTGAATCAAGCAGATTATTTATGTCAAACGCAGGAAATCAGGAGTCCAGGCAGTTGAAAAGAATATAGGTTTACTGTATACTAATGCTCTTTACAAAAATCTGTACTACTAATGGTCAAAACAAGTTGATAGTAGAGAAGGGTCATAGAATTCAAGGTGGGTTAGACTTAGATCTCGAGGGCACAAAGGCATTCAAGATTGATGCTTGACTCCTCCCTAATCATTTCTACATATGTATGTATGTATATATGTACGTATGTATGTATAAAACTCTTTTATATTATATAATTATATATATAATTATATCTCTCTATCTCTGTCTATATATCTCTATACAACTTATGTATAATATAATAATATAATATAAAAGAGTTCTGGGAAAGTTGAATGAATGGAACTTACCTTTCTAAAAGATGGGATAGTATGACACTTTCTTAAAATCTCATTTCTAAGATCCGCCATACTATTATCAAAAGGAATTGCAAATCAGTTTTTTACTTGATAGGTCATACCTAGAAACATATTTAAAGGTGAGCAAATTTTGGGTACAAGCCAAGAATGAAAGAAAAAAAAATGTTGACGAAAGATGGATGCAAAGTAGCTTTCTTAATTTCTTTTTTATTGTGAACATGAAATAAACTCTACAATTTGTTTTTAACTTTAGAGTTTGGGTTAGTTTATGTTAATTTATATTATCACGTGTAGGTTTTATTCTTTGATTGTACCAAGTTACTAAATGAAGTCAACCGATCTTTACTGCTGAATATGTAATGTGGTATCTTTACACTCTTAATTTTTCAAAACGAACAGTCACATCTTCATCGTTTGTGGCAATTGTCAAGATTAAAAACTACATTGTGTTTTACTGAGAATTGTACTAAAATGGTTTCAATCATCCAGTTTTCTTCATAAACTACAAAGAAAATGTGTTAAATTATGTTTGCCTTTCTAGATACTTACATTTCAAATTGGAAAACTTTTTTTCATAAAGAGAACAGCCCATTCTTATCCCAAGATATTATTTAGTGAAACATCTGAAAAGAACATTCTAGAGTTTCTATGGAGATTCTCATCATCTAGGTCAGGGGTAGGCAATCTTGGCTCTTTTATGACTCGTGGACTTCAACTCCCAGAATCCCTGAGCCAGCATGATTGTCCTAAATATGCTTCCCAAAAGGCACTGGACTTTCTTGGGTTTTTTATCTTTTGAAAACATTTTGCTTCTCATCGAATGTTCTTCAGTCCAGAATTAAAGACACTTTTTGGATAAGAAGCAAAATGTTTTCAAGCAAAAAATAAAGTCCAGGTGACTTTTAAAAAGCATCTTTGGGACACATTCTAGAGTGTTTTTTAAGTACGGTAATGAAAAAGAAAAAAATGTCATTTTCTGTCTTCAGTATAACTCTCCTCAAAAATGAATATAAATCAACAATTTCTAAAGGAAAGTGGAAATGATTGGTGCTTAGAACTCTCAAAGCTTTCAAAATTATGTTGTACAATTTCACTGAAGCAATAAAGATTATTTAGTTGTGCCTTGGGACGAGTATTTCAGTTAGAAAACATACCAATGCTTCTATTTTGTGTACTGATGTTCGTTTGGTTAACATAGATGTTGAAAGGATTAGATGGCACCAAAAGATGAATGTTGAATCAACTTACTGGAATAGATGATCCTTAATATGTTATATAATATTTAAAATATTTGACAATTAAACATTTGAAAAAGAGGTGACTTAAAAAAAACTGGGATACAACTTACAGCCTATCTTTTGTAAAGAAAAGTGTTAATTTTAGTAACTGGGCAACATTAATACTTCTCAATATTTTAACTGTACTTTTCTGTTATAAAGACAAAAAAAATCTCTTAGTCAGGAGCATATCTAGAAAAACATCTATACCATAACCAACTTACAGCTGATCCTGCAGTTCCACAATGATATACTCAAGTTGTTCCTTTTCTATTTTATGGGCCAGATTCATAGATTCTATCTTCTGCTGCAAAGCCTTCTTCTGAGAGATGGATTCAGTCAGCTGAGTCTCTCTGAGTCGTACTAGCTCTTCTAAATAACCCTAGAAACATATATCTTTCATGAACTTTTAGTTTTAAAAGTACTTTGACAACATGTTTGCTTTGATAACGGGGCTGGATGATATATAACATAAAAAAAATAATTCAAATGGACTATATCACTGCTTACATCTTAATTGCAGATATTAAAGTTATTTGCTAGTTACATACATAGTTTCTTTGTCTATTTAAGGCCTAGATAGCATAATGAATAGTATGTATGCACTGATAACCTAACTGTCCTCTTAGGCCTTGGGAGAAGGTGATCATTGCTCTTATTTTATTGTTCATTGTGTACACTGTAAGCCATCCAGAATAATTTGCAAACAGGTAGCATTTAAATTTCAAGAAATAAATGGGAGGGATGCTTACTTTCCCTCTCAGTTTAAAGTCAAGAATATCAGTTATAGAAAACTAAAGCAGAACTGAAAATAAGGCATAACAGCATTTACAACTGAGAGAAAGACTGAATGACTTTACAGATGCCCATCTAAAACCTTATTGTAAGAATATTATTATCACTTTCCAGTCTTTAGCATGAGTTAATTAACAAGCTTACTGATAGAGGTTCAAAAATGCCAAAGAACAGAAAATAGTAGAGATCTGCAACTATCCCTCAGAAATTGTCTATAGTGTTGAAATATAGTGTCCCTGTAGAACAAATCCAACTATCTTTGAGAATAGAAGTCTCACTAGAGGGTAAAAAAAGTGAAGCACACTGAGTAGGAAAAACTTAAATCAAGACTTTTGGTATATTTTATAAACTAGAAAAAGAATACCACTTTAGGGAGAAATTAAATTGCTGCATTGTGATAAATAATTATGACTTTTACTGTATTCTGTCTATATATATGTAATAAAAACTGAGATACTTCATATTTCCCGTATACATGTCTCTTTCATATATCACAAAGGCATGGTTTTAAAAGCACAATACAAATTTGCAAGATAGAGCATAATTTTTTATCTCTGCTATCAATGATTAAAGACTTTACTGAAAAATAAATTCCGCAAGTTTTGCTTGCTGTACTTTTTCTTGCTTTCAGAGCAAGAGGTAGAATTTGAATTTGAAAAAGAAAAAGATGGAAGAAAAAGAACAACTGAGGTTTCCTCTGCCAGGTTTCCTCAGCTTCAATAGATGCAATAAGTTAAGGAATATTATCTGACCAAGAAGCAAGTCTTGTGCGGCCAAAAACAGTTTTTCTATTACCAGAACTATAGCTAACTAATAAATACATAAAATAAATAATATTTTTTATTTTTAAGAATATTTTAACATTAAATCTTTTAATTAATGTTATTGTAATAATTGTAATATACCAAATATTTTCAGCCACTTTATCTCAATTAATGTTTACCTTTTGTTCCAGAGTAAGAAGGTATTTCTGTTCAACCCGTTTACACTTGTTGTACCAGCTGTTCTCATCCATGTTGAAAGGAGGACCAATGTTTTCTGGAGTACTGCTTTCACTACCACTACTGCCCAGTGTTCTTAGCTCTTCCTCATCACTACTGATGCTGTCAGAACTGAGAAATCAAACTCAAAAGCTAAGAACAATAACTTACAAAATTTAAATGGAAAAAACTGAATTATTCAAATTGCTGGTTCTTAGGTAAGAGATGTGTCTTATAATCATGAATCTGCAAAAATTATTCTAGAATCTAAAAACAAAAGTTAACGTATCATCCATTCGTTAAGCCTTTCCTCACTGCGCTATCTACTTCTTCATGATCAGTAGAAATTTTTTCTCCCTATTGTTGAGCCCAATTCTGCCTCTATTACTCCTGTTTCTAGTAACTGCTATCAGGCAGATTATACAAAATCTAACACATTATACATACCTTCCAGTACTCTTAAGATACTGTGTTGAAAGAAAAAAGAGAAATACTACTTTAATCCCAGTATAGCTAAAGATGGTTTAAGCTTGTTCACATATTTGTGCCATATAGGTGTAAAGTGTAAGGACATGATTCTATGATCCAGAACAGATTCTCATATTGTGCAGATACTGGATGCTTCCCTTTACATAGAACTTGTATATAATTACCACTTCCCATATCTTCTTTCATTATATCTATGATCAATGTATCACTTTTCTTTCTAACTTCTGTCAACTTGTCTACTATATTAAACTAAGCATGTTTAGCAGTTTTAATTCAGGTAAAGTTGGGTTCCATTACGATTCAAGCAAAGCTTGCTCTTTTTGTATGTAAAAGATATATATCCTAAAATAAATCAAGTTTTTTTATCCATTTTAGCTTAGTAGCTCAGGTAAATATTTTCTTCTATAGTAATTCAAGTAAAGTAAGGAAAACATATTTATGTGATCATGAAATAAGAGAAATGGAAGATAGAGAAAGAGCTCTAACAGATTTGCCTGCATACATATTAAGGGAGAAGCACTCTATAATCATACACAACACATGCTGGTCTTACAGTGTTTTCTTGCATGCGGTTTATCCTTGCAAAGAATGTTTCTTGTCTATCTACAGAATTGGTGAAAAAAGCTAATTTACACTTATATTTATAATAAATACAAGGGCCACAGGGAAATGACTATAAGGAGGCAGTCCTTCAACCACTGTGTTCTATGGCTGGCCACGAGAAAATAATTCATTTGTGATACATGTCATATTCCAATAAAAAACATTTTCAATGGCATTTGGAACTCCTCTTTCATTCTTTCCCTTCCCAGTAGAAAGTATCATGAACTATTGAGAACAATATGTGAAATAAAAATAATACGAAAATATATTATAAGAAAATTTTAAAGCACAGACTAAACAGATACCTTTGGGTAAATTTCAGATATGGTGTATAATCTATTACAGCTGGATAGTTGCCATCCAAAGCTTCACCTTTGAGGCAGAAGCTGACATAGAATGAGAAATCAGAAATTAAGAACATTAAAACATATTGGTATTGAATAATCTCAGCACATAATTCATTTTTTCACATAATCACCAATGCAAAAGATATGTAAGAACAAGAACAAGATGAGAAAATTCAACTTTAAATGTAGATTCTTATATATCCACCATTTCACCAGCAATCAACATGTCATTCTGTGGTTTTTAAAGAACACTTTTTCCAAGTATTACTATTATATGATTTTATATGCACTGAAGCAGAATTCATACAAAGTTTTGAGGAATGCAAAAGGATCTATTTGATCTTACAATTTTTGTAGATAAAATCAAAGAGAAATGACAACAAAGTGGTCACTCCTTATCACTAAGTAGCCACAGCATATATAAAACAAAGTGCCTTTTAATCTCAGATTGAAATCTTCATACAGAATAATTTTAAAATGTAATTATAATATATAATGCAGCTTTACATTAATAAGCCTTGGGTGAGATCTAGAAAGATAAGCAGGATCAGAATTGATCAATGATGGACAGGAGACAATCAGGAAATACCAGAACTATAGGTTAGATGTAGAAATAATTAACAAAATTCTAGAAAAAATAAATGGACAACTAATTTTGTGATATTGCCCAGAATAAAGCATGGATGTGTCTATATCATCATAAGCAGTCAAGCTTAACTTGCAGAAAAATTTACTTCTATCAAATAAATAAAAAATGACATTTTGACAAAACCTATGAGTTAATTGAAAATTAACTACCTTTTACTAAATAAAATTATGATTTAATTTCACTTTCACAAGAATGCATACCTGAAATCAATAGCATTGAGACCGAGCAGCATACCAGCTAGCATGTTTGCTTCTTCTCCCAATACAATTGCTCCATCTTCATAGAATCTTCTAGAAAAATATTAAATTCTAACTATTATATTCTCAATTATTTAAATAACATGCCAATTACTCAAATTATTGATGACAGTTAATGCCAACAGCTACATTTTAATTTATATTGGTAAGAAAACTATTAATTTGTACAGTAATTTAAATGACCTGTTCTACTTATACATATAAAGGATACTATGCAAGTGTTTGGATTTGATGTATTTATGGGCCTATTTGTAAATAACAAATTATTCAGAATAAAGACGTCTGCATATTTTTATGATAAAACTTAACCATTACATACTTTTTTGAAAATATCAGGCTGCTACTGGGATAGAAAAGAACTATTTTTAAAACCGTAACTAAAAAAAATATTTTTAGATATTGTTATTCAGAGCATAAGAACAGTGCTGCTTGATCAGGCCAATAGCCATCTTAGTGTTGCAGTAGTGGGCCTTATTCAGAATGACAAGGTGGAAGCTTACCGCAAGGAGGTTGAGGGGTTGGTGAACTGGTGTAAGGAAAACAGCCTAGTTTTAAATACCAGAAAAACCAAAGAGATCATTGTTGATTTCAGAAAAGGCAGGCACAGCGACACTTCTCTGTGCATTAATGATTCACCTGTGGAGATGGTTACCAGCATCAAATTCTTGGGTGTGCAGCTAAAGAGTAGGCTGACTTGGTCACTCAACAGCGAGAAACTGGTGAAGTGGGCACAGCAGCGCCTGCATTTTCTGCGTCGCATGAGAAAAGCACATCTTCCTTCCCCTGTCCTGACCACTTTCTACAGGGGGACAATCGAGAGCATCCTGTCATACAGCATCACGGTCTGGTTTGGAGGCATCACTGCTTCAGGCGGTGCAGAGAGTGGTGAGAATGGCCGAAAAGATCATTGGCAGTTCCCTCCCATCCAGGACATAGCACGGAAGCGTTGTTTGAGCAGGGTCCACAAGATTGTTTGGGACACTACACATCCTCTTCACGACCTGTTTTCCTTGTTACCTTCTGGGAGGAGGCTTCGTGGTATCCGTAGCAGAACATCCAGATTCAGCCATAGTTTCATCCCATATAGCATTAACCTTGTGAACTCTCAAGCTTCCCCCTTCCATTATATATTCAAGATGGACAATATTTAATATTTATTTGCTACGTATATGTAGGGATGTGGGTCTGTACATATGTTGTTCATAGTATGTTTAGGTGTGTGTCATGTATGTGTTTCACTTTGAGAGTGGGCAACTAAATTTCATTTTTGATGTGTGCCCTTGTGCCCACAGTAAAAAAAACGACAATAAAGGTTATCTTATCTTATCTCTTATTTTCCTTTTCACATAAGCCTACAGATGCCTCTATAGTTGCTTGTGGAAAGCGACATCTCTCCCACCATTATTCACTGCCACTGGTATTGGAAGTCCAAACAGGGAGTTTTCAAGACCAATAAGCTTGATAACCGTGTTCTCCATGAATTAATCTACTTCCATTTTAAAGTCATTATATTTGGTAGTAACATCATGTCTTGTGATAATGAATTCTACACATTCATTTTGTGATCTATAAAGAAGTGTTTGCTTTTGTCTCTTTTCTAATAGCTTCACTGGATGGCTTTTTGTTCTACTACTTAGAAAGGGAAAAAAACGTTTTCCTGTCTACTTTCTCCTTACCATTATGCTGAAATTGTTGAGTTCGTGGAACATAAAGTAATTCATATTTGTTAAAAATATTTAACAAAGGCTTTAAAGTGCTACTGGCTTTCTGGACATTTATGTTTAAATCTCCCAATTTAGGATATATGTTTGATTGTTTAACTTAAGGAATCATTTATTCATTCTAATTTCTTGTACAAAAACAGGATTAGATAGTAGCATCCAAGAATCTGATGATTTCAACAAAATTACAGAATAAATGTTTCAGTGTAACCTTTACACTTTACATAAATGTACTATATGCAATAATACAAATATAAAAAGGGACAAAGATTGCATAACGAATCATGTTTCTCTTGAAAGCCAACAGTCATAAGTAAATATACCATCAAGTGCAATGACAAAATATTTTAAATAACATACGAAGGTTTAATCCTGTATATAAATACGTACGTTTTCACTTTCCTTCCTTCCATGCAAGTTATCATTTCCTGACTAAATTTTAAATAATAGTTGTAAAGTACCATAGAAAACTTAAAATCTACTTTATTTAAAAAAATATTGAATACCTGGTTGTTTTGAAGTCTCTCAAAGCTGCCGAAATATATTCAGACAAGTGTTTTTCCATAAGTGCTACTCTAATCCAAGCCCTTCCCTGAAATTCAAAAGTCATGATATAAATATTATTAAACAGAAATCTGGTCCAGTCATTCAATCTCTGAAACCTAAACAGAACAACAAAGTTATACTTCATCCTCCTCTTATTTATTCATATAGAGTCACAATTGCTTGACTTTTATTGTATTTGCCAAATTATTTGTTTACTTTTATATAGATTTCTATATAGAAGTATGTATAAAAATATATTCTGTATAGAAAATATATTCACATATCTATTTCAAATCAGGCAAATGGAACAACTTGCCTCTAGAAGTTGTGGGTGCTCCAAAATTGGAAGTTTTTATGAAAAGATTGGACAATCATTTGTCTGAAATGGTATAGGGCAGTGGTGGCGAACCTATGGCACGCGTGCCAGAGGCGGCACTCAGAGCCCTCTCTGTGGGCATGCGCGCCTTGCCCCGGAGAGGGCAACCGTCCCTCTTCAACCAGCCACCCGCTAACTGGCCGAGGTCCCACATGGCCGGATGCATCCCAGCACCCATGCGCTTGCTGGCCTCTATGTGCAGGGGCCGATGGTGTCAGGCAGCAGCTGCCCCAGCCCCTGCCTCACCTTTCCCTGTGACAATGGCACCCCCGCCATGCCTTGCTTTGCCTTGTCTCACCCTGCAAGACGAGCCTCCTGCCCACCGCCCCACCTGCCAGAGACCCCCTGGATCTCCCCCAACCCTGCCCAGCCCCCACAGACATCCCTCCCCACGAGCAACATCGAGGTGATCACACCCACATTGGCCACACCCACCCAATCTGCCATGACCACCACAGCCACACCCATCCAGTGGGCCACACCCACCTGGCACCAGGCGATAAATAAGTGGGTTTTGGGTTGCAGTTTGGGCACTCGATCTCTAAAAGGTTCACCATCACTGGTATAGGGTTTCCTGCTTGAGCAGGAGGTTGGACTAGAAAAATGTCCCTTCCAATTCTGTTATTCTATTATTCTGTCATTCTGAGGCAGATATTTGAATGAAATATTAGAATAGATTGTATCATTCAGAGAATAGAGAACACATTTTAAAACTTATTTTTATGTTTTATTTCATTATACAACTAACAAGAAAAATATAGACATATTAACATAATGTATTATCAAAATTAATAATCATAATAATAAAAAAGAAAAGTGGAGGTGGGGAAATCAAAAATATAACACATACCCTTAATCAAACTGGTCAAAAGTCTTCACTGAACCTTTCTTTTAAAAAAACGCTAATTAACTTTTTTCAGGAATTATTATATTTTTATCTTTTTTCATGTTCATATTCTGCATTTAAAATTCTTGGGGGGAAATCCTAAATGTAGCAAAATGGGTAATAGAATGTTTGTCATATTAGTATTTCAAGCAATTCTTCATAAAAGCTCACTGCATGTGAAGTTGTTCATCAAGTTGTCTCCATAGTCATGTCTTTGAAATGGCTCCAATTTTTTCAAGATTAAAATATCTTGAACTAAGAATAGTTCTAACTATTGTATTTGAACAAACTTTTAAGCAAATAAGAACTAGATGACAAATATTCTATTTATATATTTTATCCACATGATTTTCAAAGTATCTGTAAATATATTTTTGCATTTCAAATATTTACAAATATATTTACTTTAACTTGTTAAACAAAAGACCTTCTGCTACACTCCTTTCTGCCAGTATCTATTCAGGTTATACATTCTTCCTAATATTTGTGAAATTATAAATGCTCATTCATATCTAACATTACCAGAAGCTCATATAAATTACAGTTCCAGTTTATATTTATTCATTTTAGTGATCTGAATAAATTCAATTACATAGCACTGTAAACCAGGGCTGTGTTCACAGTCCCTCATTACAGCAGTAATAATAAGCTATTTTTTTTTGTTTTAACCTGAACACCACTAGCTTTTCTATTGTTCATTACTGCAAATGGAACCATACTTTATTTTGACATTTCTTAAAGTTTTATTCTTGTAACTTTCGTCAGATGATCAAAAATGGAAAAATTGTACTTAAATTCCTTGAGTCTGATCACACTTGGCCAATAAAGAATTCTATTCTATTCTATTCTATTCTATTCTATTCTATTCTATTCTATTCTATTCTGAACAATACAAAATACATAGCAAGAGGAATGTTATAATTCTCACCCTAGCTCTTGAAGAGGCAACATTTTCCATATTCTCAATGCTACAGATGCAATTATATGAAATCTTGCGACAAGCCACCTTAATATAATCCCAGAAAGTTCGAGGGCTTTCATACCCAAACCAAGTGATTTGACCTAAAAAATCAGGGAATAGAAAGAGATTAATCACTAAAATATAGTGTGCCTATGATAAAATATTTATAAATGATATGCTGTGATTCTTTGATGAGTTATAAAAAAACTAGATGTATAAAACAACTACCTTTAAACAACATGGAAATCTCCAACTTTGGGGGATTAATAAGAATTTAGAATTTTGAAATTATGATAAACCACTCTTAACAAATGGAATATTGTGGGAACACCAGCCATGTACAAGAAAGTGAATTGTTAGACTGCCACATTCCTCAAGATTCTGATTTAGTTTTGATTCGCTTGTGGGCACACTACTAAACAGAGCATTAATCTATAGCTTACTATTATTTTTATTTTCTAATAATCTTTCAAAACTTCAGTTTGCAACCTAAATATGTTCAGCTGGCAATAGAATTTTAACTTCAATATAAAGACTAATTGAAAATCCTAGAATCTCAAAACTTATTTATAATACAGATATAATAATTACACCAACCTAAATCTCATTATATTTACAAAAATAAAGTATATTCTAGAAGATGATCTCTTCCACAAAACATGTAAAATCAGATTTTATGTACCTTTGAGCCGATGGCTTAGAATTTGTTCCAAAATAGCTGCAAAATTATTGAATTCAGGATAAGAATCATCAATAGTTTCAAAGCATGAACGGTCAATCAGTGTCTTGATAGAAAACCTACAAAAATTAGCATAATTTATATATATATATTTATATATATATATATATACACACACACACATACATAAACTTTGGAGAATTTATATACAAATACATATATTTATATATATATAAAATACAAACAAAATATATATTAAAAAAAAGGTCGGGGATAAAGTGGATAAAGATGAAAAGTGACACATTTATAAGAAAGGTGACCTATGATTTTTCAAGTACAGAAATGATAATAAAATACAACAATCTCTAAGTTTAAATGTTTTAAGTATAAACATTAAATAGTCGTATTTAATATTTAAAAAACGCAATATTCATGTATTTTTAGTTTTAGTTGAACTAATCTAATACTAATACATCAAAACATCAAAAATCTCAGTGGTCAGTTTCTAAAAACAAACGGGTCAAGATTAAACAAAAGTGAAGATTATTTTTTTGCATTGTTGTAATAAGATTGTTTTTGCCCTATTGTCAGCTAAAATGTATTTTCAGAGCTGTATAATTTTTCATTAAAATATTTACACTACTGTAAAGATGCTAGTTTATGAAATGTTTTAAGCTAGAATTGTTTGAAATTAAAGCTTTTCATCATATTGATTGGAAATATGATTAGGTTAGTCTCGGTACCAAATAATTTCCAATGATATATAAGAGTAGTTTGATTCCTATAGAACTTACAGTATTTCTATTCTTTATTTCATTCATAATCTATAATACTGACTTTTATTTTATCATAATAAAAAAAATGTAGCATTTAATGAAAATAAGAATGAATGAAAGGGGCGTTGTCTTACCTGAACGCCTTTTCTCAGCATGATGATGGAGAATCCACGAATGGGTTTAGACTGTCTTCCTGCCCAATTAGACTAAGTCTGACAAAGTAGCCACGCCTCCTGCTGGGTCCTGTGCTTCCCAGACACGACGAAGGCGAAGCTATTGATGATAGTCCGATGTGTTGGCTCCCCTACCCTTAACACAGGCCCTGACGGACCTAAAAGGGTGGGTGTGGATTCTCCATCATCATGCTGAGAAAAGGCATTCAGGTAAGACAACGCCCCTTCTCCAGCATAGGGATGGAGAATCCACGAATGGGATATACCAAAGCTACCCTGTCCCTATGGGAGGGAATCGGTCTGGGCCTGTCCCACTTAATGGCATCACTTGCCTCACGAATGGGGAAGATGAGGACCAGGTTGCCGCCCTACAAATATCCCCAATGGATGCCTGTGATGCCCACGCTGCTGATGTTACAGCGCTGCGGGTGGAGTGAGCGGTGATATGGCTTGGAGCTGACAGGGAATGCGACTGGTACGCTCTTGCAATGCATGCTTTGATGCACCTGCCTATCATTGAAGATGAGACCTTCTGTCCCATGGAAGAAGGTTGGAAGGAAATAAAGAGCGCTTCCGATTTGCAAAAGGCTGAAGTCCGCTTGAGGTAATGGCACAATGCCTTTCAAACATCCAAGGTGTGCCATTGACACTCCAACGCGTGGGATGGGCGAGGACACAAATTTGGGAGAATCACCTCCTGTGATCTGTGGAACAAAGAATTTACCTTCGGTATGAAGGAGGGATCCAGTCGGAGGATCACCCTGTCATTGTAAAAAACCCATAGATCCTCTCTGACAGAGAGAGCGGCTAGTTCCGAGATGCGTCTGGCCGACGTGATGGCTATGAGGAAGGCTATCTTCATGGTTAAAAACCGTAGTGAACATGTCTTGATGGGCTCAATCGGTGGTGAGGTTAGGGCTTGCAAGACCCGCAGGAGTTCTCAAGAGGGATAATGATGAACCATGGGTGGCCTGGTGTTATTCACGCTCTTGATAAAGGACCGGATCATCGGGTGCTGAGCCAATGGCATTGAATTGTCACATGTAAGCACCATGGATAGAGCCGCCACCTACCTGCGGATGGTATTGGGTGCCAAACCTTTGTTGAGCCCCTCCAGTAAATACTCAAGGATTTTCGAGATGGTGATGGTTGATAGACCGAGGTGGTTCCTTGTGCACCAGTGGCAAAAGTTCTTCCACGAGGAGTCACAGATCCTGTTGGTTGAGGGACGTCTTGCGGCCTGGATCATGGAGATAACGCCCGCCGGGTAGGACTCTTATGTCAGGAGCCGCCGTTCAAGTGCCAGGCAGCTAACTGGAGCCATTGAGGGTCCGGGTGCTGAAGGGACCCTGGGTGAGTGCCACACTATCTGGAGGAATCCTCCACTGCAGAGAGATGAAAAGGCTCACAAGGTCGGCAAACCACGGTTGTCTCGGCCAGTGTGGAGCAAGTAATATCACCTCTGCCCATTCTTGTAGTATCTTCCGGATAACGGCCTGGAGCAAAGGGAGAGGGGGAAAGGCATAGAGCAGGCCCTTGAGCCATGAACTGCGGAGGGCATCCGCCTGCTCCGCCCCTGGAGATGGGAACTGGGAGAAAAACCTTGGGAACTGGGCATTCGACGGGGAGGCAAACAGGTCCAACACTGGGAGTCCGAACCTCTCCAGGATCTCCCTGAATAGATCGGGATGCAGGCGCCACTCTGAGTGGTCCACTGTCGACCTGCTCAAGGAATCCGTCTGCTGGTTTGCCTCTCCTGAGATGTGCTCTGCTTTGAGGGAGGAGAGGTTGGTTTCTGCCCAAGAATTCAGCAGCTGGGTCTCGGTCATGAGGGACCTGGACCGAGTACCCACCTGCCGGTTCACATGGGGTTTCGCTGCCACATTGTCTGTGAGCACCAGGACAGGTTGTCCCGCCACCCTGTCGCTGACAAGACACAGTGCAAGGTGTATGGCCCTGAGCTCTAGCCAGTTTATGTTGTGTTTGAGGTCCGATTGTGACCATCGGCCCTGTGAATGTAGGTGTGCCCCCCAGCCGAACAGACTGGCATCCGTTGTTAGGGTAAATCTGGCTGGTTCCTTGAATAAGGAGCCTTTGGCTACTGCTGGGGAGGTCCACAACTGAAGGGACTCTAGGGTTTGAGGGGGAACAATTACCCTCTTGTTGGAGGAGCTGGTGCCCTGTCTCTTAAATGGGAGTAGGAACCATTGAAGGGTTCTGGTGTATAGTCTGGCCCATGGCACTATCCCCATACAGGAAACCATCTTTCCTAACAGTTGGGAAAGTGTGGCCAGTGTGGCCACATGCTCCCTTTGTACCTGTCTGATCAGGATCTGGATGCTTTTCTGACGTTCCGGCGACAGGTAGACCTTGCAGAGGTCGGTGTCTATGACCGCACCTAGGTAAAGGAGGCGGGTTGAAGGTTCTGTCTTGCTCTTTTGAAAATTGACCGAGAACCCATGGTCTTGAAGGGTCCTGATGGACAAGGCCAGGTCTAACCGGGCCCTCTGCAAGGAGGTGGACTGGATGAGGATGTCGTCCAGGTAACATTGGATTCGTACTGGAATCAGTCTTAGGTGAGCGGCCAGGGCTGCCAGTATCTTGGTAAATACTCTTGGAGTGGACAAGAGGCCAAATGGTAGAGCCTTGTACTGGTAACGATGGTTCGCATAACAGAACCTGAGGAACCATCGATGGTCAGGGAGGATGGGTACATGAAGATACGCCTTCGTGGGGTCTATAGACATTAAGAGATTGCACCCTCTGATGCTGGCCAGAATGGATTGAAATGTCTGCATCTTGAACCTTTTGTAGACAAGATGAGAGTTTAATCCCTTTAGGTGTAGTATTGCTCTCCATGTTCCTGAGGCCTTTGGCACAACAAATAGGATGGAGTAGAACCCCCTTCCCAGTTGACCAGCCGGCACTGGCTCTATGACAAGGCTTTTTCAACCAGTGGTACAGGTACCACCTGTGGTACATTGACACTGGCAGGTGGTACGCGACCATCCTAGAAAAGTGGTAGCGGGGGAGGGGAATGAGCTGAACTGGTGGCAGCACTGCACAAGCCTGAGCGAGAGACGGCTGGAGCTGCAGGGCTGTCAGGGCTCAGCAGAAGCACCAGGATCAGTGCCGCTTTCCAGCTGATAGGCACTTCTTCGGGACTGTCAAGGTTCAGTGGAAGTGCCAGGATCAGCGCCAGGCTCCAGCTGGAGCTTGGCACTGATCCTGGTGCTTCCGCTGAGCCCAGAAGAAGCACTGATCAGCTGGAATGTTGCAGCATCTCCAGGGTCTTGTGATTTACATTCAGATGCTTGGCAACTGGTTCATATTTATGACGGTCACAGTGTCCCAGGGTCATGTGAAGTGACCAAAACCTGCTGCAATCACCCAGCAGATGGGGGAATAAAAACTAAACACCCCCCACCCCACCCCCGCTGCCAATCCTTAACAGAAATGCTCACAACAATGAAAACCTCGGATAGGAGGAAGAGCGCCGCCAGGCAGGATGGCAGGCAGGCAGGCAGGTATCTTGCTCGGCTGTGGCTTGGGGGACACTTTTTTCAGTGCCATTGTAACTTCGAACAGTCACTAAGTGAACTGTTGTAAGTCAAGGACTACCTGTACTTTATCACTTTTTTCCTCTTTTTTTTTTTGGTCATCAAGTTTTTGACACCTTGCTAGGCGACTGGTGGTACTCGGATGTTGCCATATCCTAAAAGTGGTACAATGGGTGAAAAGGTTGAAAAGCCCTGCTCTACGACTCTGATTTCCAGAAGGTGATGAATGGCTTCGCTCATGAGTCTTATCTTGCCCGGGTTGCTGGGAGCTGGGCAAGAAATGAATCGTTCTGGGGGATGGGAGGCAAACTCGAGGGGAAGGCCGTACTTGATTGTGCTGAGCACCCAGGTGTCTGCGGTGGTGGCCTCTCATTCACAAATGAAGGTGAGTTTGCCACCTATGGGGAAGACCGTCCTGGAATCACTTGTTCCTTCTGAAGGGACGGCCTCCCGTGCCTTGAAAGGGCCACTTGGCCTGGAATTGTTGTCATGGCCTTGGAGCGGGGCATTCTGATTGGTGGTCAGGTCTGGAGTAGAAAGGGCGAGGAGACTGAGCCCACTCAGATCCTGATCGAAACGGCGGCCTACGTGAGTACGGGTTGGACCGCTT